TGCATATAAAAATGGACTTTCCAACTCTCTGTACTGCCCTGACTACATGGACGACCGAATCTCCCCAGAGCAGGTAGCAGCAAAGAAAAGATAATTGTGCAGAAACACTCTAAGGCTCTGTTGTTCTAAGGAAATTCTTAGATGTTACGTTCAAGAATTTTTTTTTAGCCTCTACACCACTTCTCTCTTTCCTCCCTGCATAGCTTCAGTCATTTGTAAAAGAGAATTTCAGCACTGGCAGAATGGCTGTGGTTGGATTAGGTGAGTGTCTAGAAACAACCAAGATGGTTGTCTTTTTTAGGCGAGCCCTGTGATAGCCCATGCATGCGTGTTGACTCTTAGCCAAACTGTGTCTTTGGTCTCAGACACTGAGGTGAGTCACTGAGAGTCGTTGTCAGTACAAGCTTTTGCTTGACTGTGAGTGATGTGTATCTTAGGAATGTGAGGCATTTTTCACTTCCACGTCCTGTGTCTGTTATACAGTCATTCCCTCTCAAAACATTTTAGGTGTGAAGCACTCTGTCTTGAGGCAGGTGGGTGAAGAACTCCTCAGTGATCGCAGAGGACCCGGAGTGGCAACAGATAAATCTGTGTACCGTGGAGGTAAAGACTCAAGTCTGAATAAACAAAGACCTAAGATATAAGTTCAACCTCTGCATGACTGTCAATGGGATTGTGCGTTTTCCTGTGCAGGTGAGCTGCGAGTACAGAACAGTGACAGTCTGGTCCATGCAGTCATTGCAAGCGAGGGAGGTGTCATGGGTAGTGCAGAGGCGAATGCCTTCTCTGTGCTGCAAAGGATCCTGGGAACTGGTCCACACGTAAAAAGAGGCTCAAACATCACTAGCAAACTTAGTCTTGGTATTGGCAAGGCTACAGCACAACCCTTCAGCGTAAGATATATTTTTGTTTTTACTTAATGTTTCCTGTTTTATTTATTGGATTAGTTGTGAATGATGATAAGAGCTTATGATGCTCATTCATGGACTCTGATGTCTTACAGGCTGCAGCCTTTAATACCTCCTACTCTGACTCTGGCCTGTTTGGTGTCTACACAATTGCACAAGCTGATTTGGCAGGAGAGGTGACAATAAAAGCCACATCTACCAAAGACAAACATTACTGCATGTAGAAACAACAGTGCTGAATAGAGTCACTGGAAGAACTGTTTTCTTCCTTTACACAGGTGATCCATGCTGCCATTGCCCAAGTGAGGGGCGTGGCTGAGGGGAATGTGACAGAGGCGGACATGACCAGAGCAAAGTTAGTACACTGGAAAACAACTTGTTACTAAGTTACATTAATGATACAATTTCCTACCTTTCATTTTGGACAGAAACCAGGTCACAGCAGAGTACCTGATGTCAGTGGAGAGCTCAGACGTCCTGATGGAGGAGATTGGTGCCCAGACACTGACCACAGCAGCCTACCAGCTCCCACACACTGTTCTCCAGACCACTGATACTGTCACACAGGAGGATGTGGTCAAGGTTTGTGGTTTCGGCTTCAGAGCGCTATCTGCACTGCCTATGTGTGCCATTACTTCTTTAGTTTTTAAAACGAAGAGTTAGTCAAATATTTTTTCTGTTTTTGAATTTTAATGACTAGGTTTGCATTAGGACAGTGTAATAATGAGCTGGAATATAAACACAATTAAACATGCAGTAGAGATTTTTATAATGTCTGTGGTTATAAAAATAAGTTTGCTATGAAGTAAAAAAGTTAAAGACAAAATATAATAACTGTTGTCTCTTTCCAGGCTGCGAAAAAGTTTGTGGATGGAAAGAAAACCATGGCAGCAAGTGGACAACTTGTTAACACACCCTTTGTGGACGAATTTTGAAATTAAAATGTAAAATCTGTTCATTTTAATTTAGGTGTGAGGTGACTGGCTGCTTGCCTGAAATATAAAATGAATAGACCTTAACCACCAGCAACAAACATTGGATTGAACCATCATCCAGGCTATTGTAGCTGTTCTGCTACACAGTGTTGTCAGCTAAACTTGTTCTACACTTTATAGTACATACTGTTTTGTTATTTTCTTCTCAACCAGTAGAGGGAGACAAAACCGCCAAACAACATGGTCCTATGGTAAAACTATTTGTATCAATTTGTATCAATTTACTGTAGGTTAATTCATTTAATACCACCTTGCTTCACTTGAAATTTTTGTTCAAGAATTCCAAAGTGTTTTGTGCCAACTGTCAAATTCGTTTTATTAAAGGATAAAAAAAATCAGGGGCATAAAAACCTAGGACTATATGTTTTGTCACCTAAACTGACTGTAGTTTACAATTGAATGTAACCCATTAAATATATTTATCATGAGGTTCACAATTGATCTGTGTTTAATGAGGACCTAAAAGTGTCACAGAGTAAAATAGAGTGGCAGGTCCAACAAAGCATTTTATCGTTTCTTTTTGGAACCAGACAGAAAATAATAGAGGCATTACAATGGTCTGTGATTATGTTATAATCATCAATGCACAGATCATTGCCCTTTGAAATGTGCTGCATTTTTGCTGGATGTCTTATGACTTAGTATTACATCTGCATGGGTTATAATCAGTAATATGCAGAAATAATATAGTCCTCTCTGTTTTTTTGTAAATCAAGAGGTACTAATGGCATGTGTGTTTTGTGATGGTGTAATTGGGCAATATATAATTATATATACTGTATGTATAATATATGTAAATAACGAGCATCTATCCTTTTTTCTTTGACTTGTTTCACCTTCTCCCGCTGCTCTGCTGTGCTCTTTCCATCCTGGACAGTGAAATCAAATAGGGGCCTGAATCATCACTGCTGTACTTTGTGACTTCAGTCTGAGACATTTAATCCTGTCCCATTACAGCTTTTTCTTTCAGGCTGCTCCAAAATCAATTTCACGACTCACAAAACAAAGATGGAAACAAAGAGATAAACATTACATCATTTAAAACATAGATAATCATAACCAAAGAGAACAGTCAGTGCCATGTATGACCTGTAAAAACAGACACAGCGTCATTAAAAACGGAAATAAACGCTTTTAGCATGTCTGTGTTCCATTTGTATGTTTTCTAAGTTAGTGATTATAATTGTGGATATCTGAATCATCGTTCACACACCATATTTTTTGTGCTTGTTTAACTTTTTTTTAATTAGTTTGTTTTTGCTGTTTAAGTGGACCACTTTGTAATCTAACTAATGCCTGCAGCTCTGTTGTTGTGGTGTATTAAGGCAGAAAATCTCACATAATGTGATGTTGTTCTGGTAAAGGCCTAGTGTTGTTGTACTTGGATGCTACATTATTTAACTGGAATGCCATTAACTTGGTTTATAAATAGAATCAAACGATAGATGGGGTACTTACAGCCAGCAGCCTTCTCCGGCTTTGAACTCTCAGGCTGAA